AGCGTACCAGAGGCGTGAGGGCAAGGAGGCACACATCGAGAGCGCGCGACGGAGGCGGCGACCACGGAGGAGGCGACAGAGGAGGCGACGGAGGTGACGGTGGCGCCGACGGGAGGGGCCCAGCCAGTGGCGGGGAGGGCGAGGGCGGCGGGGAGGGCGGCACAAGCTCCTCCTCGGCGCCGTCTGCCCCGGCTGCCCACGCCCAGATGCGGCGCAGCGGGGAGGTGCCGCGGGAGGGGCCAGGCGCCACCTCCCCGTCGGACTCTGCCACGGGGGTGTCTGCGGGCTTGGCAAGCGGTGGGAGGCCTGCGTTGGGCAGGCACGCCGTCGTCAGGGCGGGAGTGCGCGGTCTCTCGTGCAGTGTGCTCGGAGTGTGCTCGGAGCATCGCGTGAGTTCAAGCTAGGGCTGCGATGACAGCGGAATCATACGGTGTCGATCTGTCAGTAGATTCAGCATCTCCGGAGGGCGGGCCAGGCGCTAGGCCAGGCGGTGGCATCGGCTCGCTTGCCTCGCCCTGGCCGCCGGCAGGGAGGATGGCGCGGGCCGGAGGGGGCGGCGCGCGGCCGTCTCTGGCGGCGGACTCATAGAGAGCCACAAGCTCTGCGACCCTCAGGGCGGCGACGATGTGGCTTACCTAAGGTCAGGTCAGGTACAGGTAAGGAGAACTTCTCCACACACACAAGGTGGTGGGGCAAGGGCCAGGCAGCCCTCGCGACTCCACGTCTAGACGACAGGAGCCCCACGGCATTCAAAGTGCAAGGGCCCGGCGCGCGTGGGTGAGCGGTGTGGGAGTGAGTGTGGGAGTGTGTGTGTGTGTGTGTGTGGCGGGACCTGCTCGCTGCCGAGGCCAAGCAAGGGACCGCCGGGCTCCTTGCTGCCGCCCGCCGGCAGCGCCTCAAAGTGCGAGATCAAGGCCGCGATCTGCTGCGCCGTGTACCCCTGCTCCTGCAGCCACGCCAGCTCGGAGGCGGCGCCCGCACCCGCGCCTCGACGGGCAATCTCCGAGATCGCAATCTCGAGCTCGGCCTGCTCCTGCTGCTGCTGCTGCTGCTGCTGCTGCTGCTCCTCCTCCTCCTCCTCCGCCTGCGCGCGCCGCGCGCCGCGGCGCTCCTCCTCCCGCACGTGCGCCAGCGGCTGCTGCGGGGTGGAGGAGGAGCCGGTGGCCCTATACCACATCGCACAC